CATCCCAACTTAAACCGGGTGCTGTGTAATAATGGACAGGGTCTAAATCATATGTATTAATACATAACTTTCTAAAGTTTTCAAATACATCGGATAAAAGTAAAACGTCTGTTTTTAAATACAGGTTTGAATAATCTAGCATATTACAACACCCAAAATGTTCCCAAACATCTTTAGCATGATTGTAATCATCATTTGAAATATGTGAATCTGTGAGTGAACTATAAAAACATTTTTGTTCAGGGAGCGATGTTAGACTTAAACTATCATAATTAGTCATAAGTTCATATGGATAAACACCTTTCCGTTTTAAACGAAAGAAATCTTCATCATTAGGGTAATTTCTACGTAATTCTTGAAATTGATCATTACTGAGATTTTTGGCCAATTCTTCTAATTTACACGATAAAAACTTAAATGAATCTAAGAATCTCAATATAATTTCGTGGTTATTCACTTTTAATTTTTTGGAAAAGGATATATATTTTTCTTTATTTTGAGGGATAACTTCGACTTCACCATCACAAAAGTTTAACGCGTGAACAATAAAATGAGCATCATAGTGACTAAGGTTGTGTAAAAATATTGGTATATAACGAGGTGTTCTGATCTTCGAACAACATGATTCATGAGCAACACCTATAAAACTACCAGTGTACCAATCAAAATCATAAAAATGTTTTGCCAACTCAGTTTCACAAATATGACAAATGGTTGCATTTGAAATTTGGTTTTTGTCTTCATTTGTTAGCGGAAGTGGTGGATATTTTTGAAGTCTATTTATTTCTTTTAGATTGTTAGATAAACTTTCCATAAACACTTGTGCACAGTTGGGTCCGCAATATGTTACATATTTTGATAATTTATCATCATATGAACATTTTATATAATATCCAAAACTATGTACTTCATGTTTCTGAATATTACGAGTGAAAGGTTTGGAAGGATCGTTAGAACATGATTCTATTGGTTTTAAAAATGCTTCAAAATCAGCATAAACTACGAATGGTATCTTTAACGTTTTTTCATAACTATCAAATTTAATTTTATCATTTGAAATAGGTTGACCAAACCAATTCTTTTTTTTTAAAGTTTCACTGTTTGGTAATACTGTACAAATGTGGGCACAATCGTATTGTTCATGGTTATTTAACCTTTCCTGAGATGGAAAACGAAGTAGACATGCTTCACAAATGTACATGATGTGACCGTCTTTTGAAATTTGTTTACTAACTAACCGCGATAAATTTTTTATATAGCAATAATGATTTTTTGTATCCTTGGAAAAAAATAATAAATTGATATGTCTATCTTTACGACAAAAACATTAATACTAATATCATTTAATTTCTCTACTTTTGCTATGTCAGAAATTTTAACCGGAAAGGAAATACCATCAAATTTAAGTTTATTTGCATGTTTAACGTACGATGATACCCGATCGGTGTGTTTGTTTACAGGATATAACGCCGAGAGTAACGCCCATTTAAAACAAAAATAATCCTTGTTTTTTACATTTATAACAGCCTTTTTTAATTTTATGTCACGAGGAAGATCTATGTATGAAGTACCGCGTAGGGGGTTAAATTTATTAACATTCATGTCTATAGATTTTATGTTTTTTAGACTCCATCCACTATCTTTTTTTTCGAAAGCACTAATTTTAGTAGTAATTGTATCATTTAAAGATGAAAGAAAAATATTTAAGTCATCTCCTTGACAAATAATATAGTTAAGCGTTTGAAAATCGAACGTATCATGAATATCTTTAGTTTGTTGAACAAAATCAGCATGCAATATGAAGTTTACCTTAAAAATTATGTGTTGATGAATACACTCTTGTAATAAAAATAAAATATCATCTTTAATAGAATTTAAAAATAGTTCAGGAGTTTCAAAATTTACCCATGTCGAACGATCTACTCTACTCTTGATTTTATAAGTTAAAATCCTATTTCCAAAAGCAGATTCAATAACACTAACGTTTGATAAAGAATTATGTGAATTTAAAAGATTATTTTTATGAACATTACTTTTAAAATGATTAGCTAAATACCGTTTCTTGATAAATATATGGCACGTTGGACATTCCACTTGATCATCGTTACTGATACTGTTCCCTGCAGAGGTGCGCTTGTGCTTCCGTTGTTGGTTTTTTGATGATCTTGGATTCTTTGCTGCACGTTCGCTTCGTTCCTCTTCCAAGTTGTAGTGGTTGACTGCTAAAATGTTTAAATTTATTAAAAACTGTATAAGACAATATGTAAATTATGATCGAAATGAATGTTTATTTTACATACTTAAACTGTGTTTCAACCATCGCACAGTGATGATACAACTCATCATCGTATGACGAATCGAACAGTTGACTCTCCATTTCTTCACAAACTTTAGACAACTCCTGATTTAATTCGCTATTGAATAGTTCCGTATTCTCTTCCATGATTGTGGAGAAAAAAGCACTGGTGCACACTTCACTGAAGTTTTCCCTTCCTCTTTTTTATTTTTGATTCAGCTTCAAAAAAATGATCAATCGATTGCGATTTTCTTTTTCCACCATCGCATGTGTTATTATTAATGACGAGGTTATCACTCTCTTCTTGAGGGGAGAGTGGCGAGTAGTAATACTGTTTATAGGTATCTTCATCGAAGCTCAATGATTTCTGCAACAACACAGTTATCATGTTAATATCAATTTGTTAACACTTAATCATAAAATTTAAAAAAGTTAAAGTTACAGCCTATTAAAGTCCACTGCTGAACATAGGCCTCCTCTCATTTCTGAGAGGGTTTTAGAGCAAGGAAATGTCCGCCGCGCTCCCTCAATGTGTGTTGGCGAACTTCACATGCCTTCGAAATTTTCTCAGACATGCAGGTTTCCTCACGATGTTTTCCTTCACCACCAAGCACGTGGTAATAAGCACTTAAAATTGCGATTAACAATTTAATTGGTGCTGGCGGGGATCGAACCCGGGTCGCGTACTGTGAAATTTACAGCTAGCGCTAACCATCTGAGTTACCACGGCTTAATCATATACATACACAATATTTAAATAAAATAATACACACACATGAAAATAACAGAAAAAAAGTAATTTAGTCAATAGAATAAACACTTACATCCATAGCCTTTGGTGTATTGAAGTAACACAAATGTACTATTGATAGATCCACTGTAGTCAAACGACCGTACACTAACTCGATGACTGCGTCTGTTGGTCTTATATACCACCAGTACGTAAAAATTCTAATCTAAAGTATTTCCGTAATGAGTTGATAATTACTTTATGCGTCAACCAGTTTATCTCACATTTCCGTTGCCTATCTCAACATTTCTTCGTATTGTGTTTTGTTTGGTGATCAATGACTCAAGTACGATTTGTATAACACAAAAATGCAATTTAATATTTAGAAATCACTATAATTGACCATTCCTATGTTATTCATTGAGTAGATTGGTACTGTAATAATGTACTAATAGCAGTAATATCATGGATACACTAGATGTACAACAACATCTGAAAAAGATTCACCCCAGTCTAGAAAATAATGTTTATGCAGCTAATAGACTGCCTATGTATACGCACGTACCAACGTATATAATATGTAATTTGGATACAGATGATAAACCAGGGTCACATTGGGTAGCTTTATATATCGATACGAATGACGTCGGTCAATATTTTGATTCATATGGACGATCACCTGTACGATATCATCTAGAGTTTTTAAAAAGGAATTGTAAAAGATGGAACTGGAATGTTGATAGGATTCAGAATGATTGGACTTCAGTTTGTGGCGAATATTGCTTAATGTATTTGCTATATAAGTTTCAAGGATGTTCAATACATAGTTTTACGAGTATATTTACAAGGAACACATTGTACAACGATATTTTAGTGGATGAGATGTTTCGCTCCTATTTTATAGATAATAAGTAATAAGATTTTGTATTTTATAAATAAAAATTGTAACAAAATTATGTAATGTGTTTTATTGATGATTCAGATTAGCGTTGTATAATTAGGAACAAAGAAGTACAATACAATAGCACTGATATAGTCGACGCACACGCTGCAATGAAGGTGATTAATGAACAATAGAACAATAGAAATAGGAACAATGGGACGCTAATGACGGTGGAGGCCCTTACCGGATATCAATTAGATATTAGCTAATTGATCTACACATCTCCGGAACCGTGCATTCTACACAAAAATGGACCGCGGATTCGTGATCAGCGCATGCCAAAACCTTTTTTTTTTTTTTTTTTTAGGATCGGGTGTCGACGAACGTCGTTGAACCACGTCTGACTCAGGTGGTCTAGAAGTGGTACAACTACACTATTTATTATGAGTGACAATCAGTGTCAAAAGGAAAGAATGTAATTTTTCTGCACCATACGCCTATATTACTTAATCTGAAACTTCTCTGCAAATTTGGGCGTATATTGCAAAATAACCCTGTATTATTATCTCGATGAGTTAGATTCGTTGTTGAAGTTGAACTTACCTAGTTAGACAGTTTGTCCAAGGTAAACATACTCGTCAACGATTTCGAGGGTATTGCTTCCAAAAACTACTGGCGTCGCGTCGGTGTGATATGAACGTTACACACGACATTCGTTATAAATGGTTATAACATCTATATAAATAAATAAAATTGAAGTGTCTGTTTGTAATGTTAAAATAACAGATTTTTACTAAATGCATATAAAAGTATATACTGTACTAATAACAAAAACGCAATTTTTAAAATTTTTGTCTGTCTGTCGTTCTGTCTGTCTGTCTGTTTGTTCCGGCTAATCTCTGAAACGGCTGGGCCAATTTTGACGGGACTTTCACTGGCAGATAGCTGATGATATAAGGAGTAACATAGACTTTTATTTTAGAAAAATAATTAGGGTTCCGCGCAAAAAAATTAAAACCCATGAAATCCAAGTTCCACGCGGGCGAAGTCGCGGGGAACAGCTAGTTAATATATAAAATAATAAATTTTACCTCGAACAAGAAAGTATCCACTTCTTCTCGTATTAGTTCATCACTTATTCGGTTACCGTCAACTTCTGATAGCAAAAGAAGATCAAGGAATGCGTATTTGTTTTTAGTTCCTAAAAAGTAAATAAAATATGTACATTTATAAATAGTAATATAAGCCAAAAAAATCTAAACCTAAAGGAATTTCTTATATTGCTCTACCAAAATAAATGATTTATTACTAATCGAATTCAACTTCTTTAAAAAGAACTTCTCCGGTTATAAAAAGACGTTTGGCGTTCAACAACGTCATTTTTTATCAGTTAGTTAAAAAGTGTTAATATTTTTATATCTGTTAAATATATGCCTTATCTTCTATTTTACACTCTTTTAGTGACGGGGCAAGGGGTGCTAAAATCTCCAGATTCGGTTGCTTTTTTGTGACCTGGTAAGATTTAACGCCCGCACTCATAAAACTGATGAAAAGATCCTGGAGCTGAAAGAATAGATAGACAAGTTGCACTGGAATATTATAGGATAATCTGAGGTCCGAAGACTGGGGTAAAAGGCAATACTTGAATCTGGCAATTTGTGTTATCACCAGGAGGGCGTACATTCTGCTCAGAATCACCAAACAGTGTCCCTTGAAGGTTTTAGATGTCTGTGGTTAAAGATCATACAAGTTTACACTTACTTACAAGTTGTGAAGGGCTGTAATAATGCTAATGATGTTTTTTCACCCACCTTCTCCGACTAAAATATAAATACTTCATTTTATTTCTTTAAAGTCTATTAGAATTTATACATACATTTTATCGTCATCATGTAAATAATGGTCGTAATGAAACTATTGTATTCTTTTATATTCCGAAGTTGGAGACGAATCTAAGCCAGGCTACAGGCGATCACATGTTCCTTTGTAATATCCTGTAGCCTGACTTAGATTTAGAGTAGGTTCACAAATTATAATATAATTATTACAAATAGTTTTTCTGCAAATGTCAATACTTTTGGGGAAGTGTTTAAAATATAATGTAATAAAATAAATAAAATCTGTGAATGTGGGGTCTTAAGATATTATGAGAGTTATTTTACCAATATCTGAATTCGCGGCCATTGTAGTTATGTTTGCTTTTTTGAGTTCCTCACGTCGCGTTTCTATGACCTTCCTAGTGTGCCCGTGTATGATGTTCAAAGCTTGATCTTGAATTTTTTTGTACGTAGACAAATTAAATATTGTTTCCTCTGCCATAAATGCATTTCTCATTCTTAGTGCTACAATAGAACTTAGCCTAAAATATAATTTAATAAATTTATTGTTTATCAATTAATTTATTATATACCTATAGCATCCGTTGTGCATAAAATTGCTTCATTATTTTTATAAAATACTTACTCTCCTATTGCTTTTACATACTTCGATTCTTTATCCCTTTGCGCGTTGAAGGACATTCCCATAATAGATTCTGCAATATATTATTTTATATTTCATTTGTTACTTGTATAATGTTAGCACTTTTGTTAGACTGTGTGTATCAAAGATATGATTTCTCCGTTATTTTTTGCTTAGTATGTGTTCACCTATTACTGGCAAATAAGGCCAGTGCTGGCGACGCGCTTACAAAATAGTTTATCATTTTTCATTTCATAAAAAATAAACAATTTCGTGTATTGAAGATATTGCTATTAAATTGTATAAGGCACTTTGAATAAAGAGATAATCTATGTTAAAAGTAAATAGATTCAATATAATGTCGAACGAAAGTTCGGTGTTCGATTCCCCCATCGAGAGTTAATTCCGTGAAAGTTATAGAGTCATGTGATACATAGTAATCAGCTATGCAATACGAATAAGCCTTATATTAAATTAGATACTTATTTTCGATGAAGATATATTTTGCTCTTATGATAAGAGATAAGATTCGTTATGGCTGATAAGAACAGCACATGTAAACAAATAATGTTTCATAATGAACAGAGATAGTTGAAATTTAGACAAAGAAAGCACTAGCCTCCTACTGATATAATATCTAAGGGTCGTGTAGGAATTGTTTGTTCATGTTGTATGGGATCTAAACAGGGTCAATGATGTACCATAAAAATAAAAAATAAATTATATTAATTTGTGAAAATTTCTGTAAAGTGAGTAGAAATAAGTAATAAATGTTTCAGGTTTACTATATTATGTATTAATAAGAATAGTGCTGTGTTAAAAGTGTCTAAATTTGTGCTTAGAATAGTGATATAATAATAGATATATATAAAAAAATTAAAGTCGAATTAAAGTGTAAAAATACCTTTAAACTGTGAATTAAACTATTGTATTAGTTAAGGTATTCATGGTTATTAATAAAAATTGTTATTTTAATCATGTGTGTTAGATATTTAAGTTTTCTAACTTTGAAAATGTTCTGTAAAATAGGAGTATTTTGTTGAATATCTTAATATGTTTTTATGTGATAAAGATGTAATGTATGTCATAATAATAAGACTTTGTGTGTGATTCTTATAGATAAAATTGTGTGACCATATGTTTTATAGAAATAAACATATGGGGTAAAATACAAGGGTGCAATGGTGAAAATCAATGTTAAGATATGTCGAAATGGCGCGTGGTGCGGTTCTCTTTCGCGTATAGCTCGCGACTAGGCTAGTAAACTTGTAATTTGAAAATTTGTTCGGGACCAGCTACCAGTTTTATAGTTTAAAGCAAGAAAGAAGAAGGCAATAGAGAAGTGACAGGAAAGTAGTAAAAGTTTCAATGGTTGCACTCTTAAGGGGAAATTACTAAGATAAAATTACTGTTTCATTTCCTACTGCACGTTCCAAATTAGATGAAAATACAGTCCACTACGTGACGTCAAGACCGGGACCACTCTAGAGATCCGTAATCTTAGTCGTCTAACCATTCTTTTCAGAAAGGCAACAGACGTTCTTGTGTGCCACTCCTTCACGGGGATCATGTCCACCTCGTTGTTCCCGAACCCAACGTGTTGTAATTTTAGTTTCGGGGTTGAACGTCAGTGACTGACTAACCCCTGTTTGATTGGATCCTTTCAGTTCAGATTCGGATTGTTGTCAAGCGACAGGCTGCACCCTTTCAGCCAGATTTAATTTTCCTTCTTTCTTTAAATTTTATACGTGTTAGTTGAAGATTTATTATCGCTTAGTGGTTTGAATATAATGAAGGACTGGAATTCCCTTTTAGAGAATTTGTGAAAATACAGTTAAAAGTTGAAATTTGCCTAATAACATGGAGAGCCAAAATATAGCTATATTATGATTATACATAAAATTGGAATTTTTCTTTTGAATTAACGAGGAAGCAGTTGATACTAATCTTAATCTTATAGATTATTATATCTACTTAATTTTCAATTACTTGAAGGTTATAATTTGTACACAACATACCATAGAGCAACACGGGCCCGTGTTGCTCTGTTTATTGTTAGCACCCAGTTATTAACTTCGAGTAACTACATAATAAAGTAAATAAGTACAATGTGCATGCTAAACATAGTTATTATATACTGTTTAGTGCATGCGTAATTGAATAACAGCGGTATGGTGAGGGTGTATATAGTAAGGATACAAATGCTTAAAAATGTTTTTAGAAAAGAATAATAATAATTACCCGTCACATTGTCCAAAGCAGCTAATGCTATGATAGGAAATAGATTAAGATCAGTCTTCCCATCTGCGTATGTTCTTAAATTCTCTATTAGGACCCTTTCATTCTTACAAAACACTGGCAGGAAATTTTGCAGAATATTAAAATGAAAAGCCGGTGTCAAAAATTTGCGGTGCGACCTCCATCTTGAACCTAAAATAAAATGTTTTTTTTTTAATTTACAACCTCTAAAGGAAATTGTTACTATCTAAAATACATCAGGATCTACATCGACCTGTAATGTTGACAGAGAAGAGTCTGATAAAATTAATAATAATGGATGTGGAGGAAGCGAGAGAGTGGTGTTAGGATCATGCCAAATGGAAGTCCATAGTCTCTGCCTACCCGTCTGGGTTACAGGCGTGAGTGTTTATGTATGTTAATGTCAGCAGAGACCTTGTCGAGCCAGGTCTATTTACAGAAATGTAAAAGTGTGACTGAACATTTTTTCTAAATCAACCTCCAAGAATATAAGCTTTTGAACAGCACATCGCAGGTTCATTGGTGAACATGAGCCTTCCCCATAGATTGTCATCGGGGGATATATGCCACGCTTGATAGGTGGGATGACAAGCACAAAGAGATTTAAACAGTGTATATATATATACACTGTTTAAATATATACTAGCTGTCCATGCAGACGTTGTTCTGCCCTTTCCAACGACCATTCCTATAAAAATCCTTAAATTCGCAATAAAAAATTTTGAGGATCATTTATCGTGATAAAAACTATCCTATCTTTCAAGTTGGACCAAAATGGACACAGTGTGCAAAATTTCATTGAAATCAGTTCAGTAGTTTAGGAGTCCATCGCAGACAAACAACGTGTTTAGGCTAAATATTAACAATTTTAAAATTTGCATTCATTACGCTCGACCTCTGTCGCCTGACGTGTGGGCGATGAACCGGTTTGACGGCTTGGGCCGGCCGGCGCTCGGTTTCGCACGCGGGAGCCACGCCCTGACCTGTCTAGAAGAATCAGTCGCTTGACGCGAGGGCGAAGATATAGTGTTGTCTGCGACCGCTAAGTTATTTGAGCGCGACCCGTGTAGTTAATTGTGCGCGTACATCGAGTCAATAAAACTCTGTCTAGAAGATTTTCGCGCGACGGCAGGTCGGAGCCGTCTAGAAGAATAAATCGTTGCGAGGTTGAGTGCAAAAAAGCCACTAATTTGTGTCGTTTTGTTAGTACGTTTATGTAACGACGGGGCGTTTATTGAGTTTGAGTGGTTAACTTAACTTCGTTGCCGTTAAATTACGTCAATTTGTATAGTGATTGCATCTTAAAGTGCATTTGGCAATATTTATTTTGTTTGTGTGGCATTTTAATATCGTACGAAGGAACGGTAAACTTTGTGACTCGAGAGAAGGTCGCGTTCGTATACTATTATAATTTGTTGCTAAGTGAACCTGGGACATTGAACCTTGCCCGACCGTCCTTAAGCTGTGCAGCGTGTCACTTGTTTTAATGTCGACTAACGTTGATTTGGTTGACTTTGAAGTTAATTAAATGTACAATAAAGTTGATAAACTAATATAGTGAAAATAAAAGCAGAAGTTTTCAATTGGTGAACGCCCCCCTGGATGGATCTCATATTTGGAGAGAAGCAGCGCCTGTGGATCTGCAATCCTGGATCAGCGGGGATTTCAGGTTACACCTTGTACACAGTACTATACACTATTATGTCACTTATCACCTGACAGGTACTCTGTGGTCAACCCTACCTCCGGAAATCGTTAAGTGGTGCTTGCTTATTTGTCAGCCGTTTTAGGAACCGTTATCCATAGGCCATTTGGGCTCCACCCTTGGTTGCTCGTCGAGGGGACCACTCATGGGCCCTGTTCCAGTCGACCTTTGTTGGGGCAACTAAGGGCGTGTACACAACGTGACACGTAATTTTTATATATAAAGATATATATTTACTTAAATGTGTTTGGACAAGCACAATTCTTTTATTATCAATCAGAAAAAAAATGCTGCTTATTTCCTGTTTACTTTGCCTCGAGATGATATCGGGTACATAGTTGATTCTTAAACGTTCCTACAACTCGGCGACTTAATGTACACCAACCATAAAATATTTTTAATGTATGTGCTAATACATGCCAGTAAAGGATGTTTTCATCCTAAGCAGGCGAAAACGACCCATCCCCCCCCCCCCCCCCCCCACCAACGCCTATAAATAGCTAATCCCAAGGGTAAGACGAGGGTACTCTAGGCAAATCTTTACCTTGCAGCAGTTGCTTTTGCCGTGGTGGAGGTTTGCTTCGCAGAGGACAATATCGACTTCACCCTCATACAACCATTTCACCCTTAGCTATCTATTATTTAATGACAACCTGGTTACAGCCTTTATAAATCTAAAAGGATACAGGGGACAGAGCAATCATTTGCTCAGCCTATCTTCTCGGAGAGAACCCAGATCTTGCCATCGAGTTAGAGCGAGTGGCGGAATTCGCCCGTAAGCACAACGCTGAACTTGTGGTGGGATGTGATGCTAATGCTCCCCACACAGCATGGGGAAGCACTTACATCAACGAAAGAGGTGAGTTACTTTTTGACTTTCTCATATCCAATCGCCTCGTATGCCTAAACTTAGGGTGTACACCAGCCTTTGTAACACGTGCTAGGCAGGAAGTTTTACATATAATCTTTGTTACCAATAACACATCCAGGCGGATTACTGACTGGCATGTTAGTAGTGAAAACTTGATGTCTGATAACAGACACATTAAGTTAGAGATTAGAGCATCACCAACTTATGAAACTGTTGCTTTTAGGGATCCAAAAGCGACTTCCTGGGAAAACCAGGAAACTATGCATTAGGGCCTAAAAAATCAAAGAATGGGATATTTATAGTGCAGCTCTCATCATTACAGCCCTTCACAAGTCCACTGCTGAACATAGGCCTCCCCCAAAGAATGCCACAAAGCACGGTCCTGAGCCACCTGCATCCATCGACTTCCTGCATATCTTACCAGGTCGTCACTCCATCTAGTGGGGGGACGCCCTACACTTCGCCTGCCGGTACGAGGCTGCCACTCGAGAACCTTTCTTCCCCATCGGTTGTCGGTTCTTCGAGCTATATGGCCAGCCCATTGCCACTTCAGCTTACTAATCCGTTGGGCTATGTCGGTCACTCTGGTTCTACTGCGGATATCCTCATTTCTGAGTTTATCACGCAGAGAAACTCCGAGCATAGCCCTCTCCATAGCTCGCTGAGCGACCTTGAGCTTCCTCATCCGGCCAGCAGTGAAGGACCACGTCTCAGTTCCGTATGTCATCACTGGCAACACGCACTGGGTGTACAGTCTCGTTTACAAGTTTTGAGGTATACCTGACGAGAAGATGTGCCGTAATTTCCCAACCGAGTTGAATCCGTCGATTGACCTCTCGGTCGAAGTTGGACTTACCTAGTCGGACTATTTGTCCCAGGTAAACATACTCGTCAACAACTTCGAGCTTAGTGTTCCCAACAACTACCGGCATAGGTGTGACATGGACATTAAACATGATCTTTGTTTTGTCCATGTTCATCTTAAGACCTATCCGTTGGGAAACACTATTGAGGTCATTGAGCATAGTGCTTAAGTCCTCCAGCGATTCTGCCATAAGGACTATATCGTCGGCAAATCGAAGGTGAGTGATGTACTCGCCATTGATGTTGATACCGTATTCTTTCCAGTCCAGAAGCTTGAAAACATCTTCCAATGCAGCGGTAAAGAGTTTCGGGGATATGACGTCACCCTGTCTTACACCTCTCTGCAATTGGATAGGTTTCGTACTCTGGTTCTGTACTCGGATAGCCATCGTAGCCCTACTGTACAAGCACTTCAACACTTCGATATACCGACAGTCAACTTGGCATCGCTGAAGGGACTGCAGCACCGCCCAAATTTCGACGGAATCAAAGGCTTTCTCATAGTCCACATACGCCAGACATAGTGGCAAATTGTACACCTCGGACTTCTGTACAATTTGCCGAAGGGTATGTATGTGGTCTATGGTGCTAAAGCCTTTTCGGAAACCGGCTTGTTCGGGAGGCTGGAAGTCGTCAAGTCTGCGCGCGAGACGATTCGTAATGACTCTCGAAAACAGCACGTAGACGCGGCTCAGAAGGGAAATCGGTCTATAGTTCTTCAAGAGAGCGTTGTCGCCTTTCTTGAAGAACAAGACCACCGCACTTCTGCTCCACGCCTCCGGTGTAATGCCACCATGGAGGACGGAATTAAAGAGCCTCTGAAGGACTTCAAGTACCGGTTTTCCACCCGCTTTCAGAAGCTCCGCTGTAATTCCATCCTGGTCTGGGGCCTTGCCGTTTTTAAGGTGCTGGAGAGCCATTCTAATCTCGCTCAGACTTACGTCCGGGATATCATCGGAATAATGTCGGATAAGACTCGCTCTTGGATCGTTACTCACACTTGCGTGTGGCTCCAACGATGACGTGTACAGCTGCCGATAGAACCTCTCAATCTCACTCAAAATCTCAGGTGCCCCGGAAACGATGCTGCCACATTCGGTCTTCAGCTTTGACAGTTGGCTCTTTCTGGCAGACAGATCTCTGGCAAAGACTTTGGAGCCTTGGTTCCGCTCGATCGCTTCTTCAATACGAGCTGTATTGAAGTTGCGTAAGTCCCGCCGCATGCATTTGGAGATCTGTCTGTTCAGTTGCCTGTATGCTGTCAAATCTGTTGAAGAATGCAGCTTCATCTCCCGTCTAACAGCCATGAGATTAAGAGTGTGATCGGAGAGTTTTTGTGTTCTTCTGCGGCGGGTCTTGCAGAACTTAGCTCCGACCGCATGGACAGTTTCCACGAGCTTGTCATTCAAATCGTCCACTTCATTGCAGTCTTCTAGGCACTGAAAACGGTTTTGCAACTGGAGCTGAAAGGTTTCGGGACTTTGGATTAGAGCACGAGGGGGACGGAGCGATGACTTCATTAGACGAGACCTCTCCAACTTAACGTTTAGGTTCAGTGTGCCTCTAACCATTCGGTGATCGCTGCCGGTTTTCACCCTCGCGATCACTGAGACATCACTGAACAGTTGTCGTCTGGTCGTCATAATGAAGTCAATCTCATTTTTTGTCGAACCGTCGGGGCTCGACCAGGTCCACTTCCTTTGGGGCCGCTTCTGGAAGAAAGAGTTCATCATAAAGATTCCCTCTTTCTCCATGAAGTCGGCCAACTGCTGGCCCCTTGGGTTCCGTTGCCCTATTCCAAATTTCCCCACTTTCAGCTCACCGTTCTTTCTTGTGCCTAGTTTTGCATTGAAGTCTCCCATTAACACCGTATAGTGAGTTTTGGAGGAATGCATGGCTCTTGAAATATCCTCATACATTTGCTCCACCTCCTGATCGGGGTGTGCCGAGGTTGTTGCGTAAACCTGTATGACCTTCAGCGAATACCGTTTGGTGATTCTGTGTACAAGGTACGCAACCCTCGTCGATATACTCTCAATCTTTGGTCGCCCTCCCGGTAATAGAGCAAGTTGCCGGATTCGAGGATTACCGTGTCCTCCCCCTCTCTTCGGACTTCGGATAATCCTATAATATGCCAGCGTAACTTGTCTATCTCTTCTTCCAGCTCCACAATCTTCTCGTCAGTCCTCAGGGTGCGTGCGTTGTATGTTGCCAGGTCGAGTTGTTGTAGGTGGCAACCGAACCTCCACCGAAGATTCTTAGCTCTAACCGATTATAATAAAGAAATTAGGAAAGCTAAGAGAGCATCGTTTAGGATGCTATGCGAGGAAGTTGAGTCTTTCCCTCGCAGTGCAAGACTACACAAAATTCTATCTTAACAATATTCATCTTAACAAGCCTGATGGTAACTTCACTAATAGTGAAACGGAAACACTTGAGCTACTAGCGTCAACCCATTTCCCAGGGTCACACAAGACTTTAGCCTCGATCTCTTTCAGATCCCTACAAAAGCCTTGCAATGAGGACTGGTGTAGGGCTGGAAAGGTAATAAGGCCAAACCTGGTGCAGAGGGCTGTTGACTCCTTTAAACGATATAAGGCAAGTGTAGATGAATAATGCCCATTCATCTACAGAGGGGTATCGATATCCTTCTTCCTTATCTGGTAAAAATCTGCAGAGCAAGATTTGCATGGGATATATTTCAGAACGATGGACAATTGTCAAAGTTCTATTTATACCTAAGGCTGGTAGAAAGGACTACGCCTTAGCAAAGTCCTTTAGACTTATAAGCCTTTCTTCCTTTCTTTTGAAGACATGGATGTAGCTCTAGCTACGAGACCTATACACTACAACCAGCATGCTTGTCGCAGAGGCAAATCTACGGAAACAGCCCTGATTAGTGTTATTGACAGGTTGTACAAGCACATCGCCCCAAGAATGAATTACTGACTCGGTAGAGTCGAATAACTGGTACTAATAGCTTGTGTCTGTTCCTAGTATTTACAGAATGAATATCACTTATTTTTGTTAAACTACTTTTATTTTTGTGTACGTACATTACATTACATACATTTAGAGGGGCTTTTTTTTGTTTTCAAAAGCCAAAGTACTTTATCAATAATCATACAAAGAGCCCTAAACACCATAAACAACTAGTGCAGTGATAACAGTTTATCAGTTAATGCTGATAAAACTGTTATAATACCCTTTACCAAAAAGGGACGGTTGAACAAATTAGTCACACAAAAACTTAATGGTAAAGAAGTACAGTTCTTCACTGAAGTCAAACAGTCGGCCAAAAACTAACGTGTAACTCTCACCTAAGCCACGTATGTCATAAGGCTAAAATTGCTTTAGATACGTGCAGTAGCATGGCATAGCACAACTGGGGCTCGCATCCCAGTATGATCCGATGGCTGTACAGCAGTATAGTGAGGCCGATTCTTACCTACGCCTCTACTGTCTGGTGTAATAAGGCCAACCAAAAGAAAAATACGTACAGACTAAATAGTCTACAAAGAGCTGCCTGCTTAATGGCAACTGGAGCGATGTGATCATCGCCTGAAGCGGCTCTTAATGCAATTCTAGGTCTAACGCCCCTTGATCTTTATTTAGACAAGGAGGCGAGGGCTAGTTTGTGTAGGATTAACGGTTTGAGCTCTATAGATTGAGATCCATGCATGACTCGATTAAGGAAAAACCAGTCTTATGCATGATCTCAGATATTATGCGTCCACTATACACTTTTAACAAAAAGTATACAGTGGAAGTACCCTCCAAAGAAGACTGGTCATCTGTGAGGTTGGTAGCTTCATGTGGTATACCGATGGGTCAAATATGGGCCTCGACGTAGGCTTTGGAATTTATGGAGAACGCCCCAAATTCAATCTTAGTATGAATTTGGGTAGATTCACCTCTATCATTCAGGCAGAAATTTTTGCCATACTTTAGTGTACGGAAATCAATCTGCAAAAACACTACGTTAACCATATAATCTATATTAACCCTGATAGTCAAGCAGCACTGCTAGCGCTAAGGTCAAACTTGGTGAACTCGAAGCTAGTTGGAGAATGCGTGAGCCGTCTAAACGCCCTGGGAGGTAACAACAGAGTCATTTTAAGATGGATTCCGGGTTACTTGCACGGGAGGGCTCAAATAGTACACAATTTGGACCTGAGTAATTTTGCGAAATCTTAAAAAGCCTCGCCCGATTGACCCTGGAAACTCTAATAAATCACTTAAGATCTAGTCTGATACACCAGGCTTAAAGCATCCTAAAACCTTTCGTGCTTTCGATCGTAAATTCACTTCGGAAGCCCTGGGATTAGGTAAAAATAAATTGCGCATTTTGGTAAGAGCTCTGATTGGACACTTTTCTTGTGTCATGTGCCGGTTTTGCTCCCTAGAGGAGGAAACGCTTTTACACATCCTGACAAATTGCGGATCCTTAATGCGCAACGTAGCACTCATCTGGGAAACTATGTACTTCACCCAGAAAAAGTGAAATTGCTCATATCTAAGCAACTCCTTCTATTCATTGAGGACGTCGGGCTTAGCATTGAACTATAGACATAGCAGGAATCACAATAGATCTTTTAGGTTACAGTGATACTGGTCTCTCACTCTAGACCTGCATAGCTGCTTGCACATAATAAAAATAATAATACACATACACATCAAAGAACTCAAACTGTATCTGTTTCTTACCTGTCGATGTAAGAAGTCCATCGCCAAGCCAAGCTCTGAGAAAAGCGTACGATCGACCTTTGGTAATAATTTCGGAGTGTGTCACTACGCCCTAAAAATAGATAAATATAATTAATGACCATTTAATACACTAAGTGTTTATTTTAATTGGTATCATAATTGCAGTTTCTTCTTAAGAATGTTCTGTATTCAAATATGCGAAGTTGAAATCTACGAAATCTCTGTTCTAATCTCTAGAACAGAGTTTGACGCACTCTACTATGTTTTCTATGTATGCGTGACTGCTAGACCGATAAGTAACTAGAACGAATCATTTCGATACCGTTATTTTTTACTATTTAAAGTTGTCCTGCTGACGATATTTATTGTATAATATCGTCAGCAGAAATAGATGCACATGTGTAACATAATATGGATAATATCATGCAGGTTAGCCACATATTAGTATTCCACATTATGTATTTCTCCTTTTTATTTATTTTTTTGTGGTGGCATGGTATTATACTATAATTCGCCAATGACATTCGAAATTCGAAAACGAAAACTGATGACTTATTTAATACAAGAGCTTACTTTTCCATCTAGAATTTTGCATAATCTGTAATAATTTATGTTGAGTTTATTAAAAACAAATTACACAGGTCTTAGAACCTTATTAGTATATGTTAAAAGTGAAAAAGTAATAAAAAGTTTAACGTTATTAGTATATCTAAATTAAATAATAGATAAAATAAATCACATGTAGTAATTACTTGCACCAGAAGCAAATATACAGTTCGCATAAGTATAATAACTTAGGCCATTTTTACTTGTGTAATGGTTATATCTTTGATGTTTTGGACCTTACCCTGCGACAGAATCAGATGCTTCTATTATACTTAGACTGTTGTGTTATTAAATCTGTAGAAAGGAGTATTATTTTGTCGTCTACTATTAGCTACTTAATATAAAAATAATATTGTATTCTCCTACATGAAACCAGTGAAAATAAAAAGTCGGACACTATTACATAGTCAAATATTGTTGCATGTAATTCCATAATTACTGCGTCGGTATTTGATCAACTGGAGCTGATTAATGATGTATTTTTATATATATTTTTTTAATTTAACATACAGGTAGAGATAACAAAATGTTAACAGAAATATGGAAATATAGTTTGTTAACATTGAAGGCAACAGTCTTATCTCATATTAATTATTATTGGAAATGTCCTTCTGACTCCTAACAATAGCATAAATGGACAACATGTAATCACCAACGTGAAAACGTTTTTTGGCTTTAGTGGTGTATGAAATGTATTTTTTTACTTAATCAATACATAAATAAACATTGTCCCAACACGCTGTATATATTGCAATAAATATAGAAAGAATAATATATTGATAGGAATTATTAATTAGTATAGACACTATATACAATATTCATTAACTTTTTTCAGGTGGATCGCTTAAAACAAACTTGTATGCCCTGCAGGCTGAAAACTCGCAGTTGGTTTGCAGAGCTGCCCGTAGGCAGAGACAATATGATAACAGAAATATGCAAATACAGTCTATGGATACTGAAAACAACTGTCTTATATCATATCTCTTATCAGTGAAAATGTCCTTCTGATTCCTAACAATATCATAAATAGACAACATGTAATCACCAACGTAAATTTGTTTACGTGGTAGAGCCATGCTGCAGCTATATTAGTAGTATAGTTGTAGCACGAATGGGTCGGCTCGACCGGGGAAGGACCACGCTCTCACAGAATACCAGTGTCAAATAGCTGCTTAACACTGCTGTGTTTCGTATGGTGAGTGTAGAGAACCGGAGACCCTTTTTACTGGACGCGAGGCATTCTGTCTTAGTTCTCACGGGTGGCAACGCATCTGCATTTTGATTCGCAAACGAGGATAAATGTAGATGTCTATGGGCCACAGCAGCCACTTACCATCAGGTGGACTGTGTGCTCATTTGTCACCCTATACTATAAAAAAAAGCAATTTATTTTGGTGTTAATAATGTTTGGGATTTATACTTACTAATCAATCAAAACAAATATAAATAATGTTCCCAGAATGTGCATATCTGTTTTTGCTATTTTTAAGAAAAAATCTTTTAAAATGTTGATAACTGACAATAATAAATACAATTAAATTATACATGCGTTTTTCTTATTATTACACCACGAGTTTAAAACATGTCACTTCCTCACTATTTATCAGTGTATAATAATATAGATAAACATTATATTACATCATTTTGGTTTTAATGGAGTTTGGGGGTATGATAACCAATCAGTCAACACATTTTAAAACAAACTTTACACACTGCGCCTGTCTGTACTGCTTTGTGATGATGATCAATAATAATAAATGCAGTGACATTGAAATTTTTCATCCTTACAGAATCAATTTAATATTTATCACTATTTAAGTACATTACTGGACTTAAATAGTGTTTGGGATATGCTAATCAACCAATAAATATAAACGAAATTCCTACACCACGCGTGTCTGTTTATGCTACTGTTAAGAAACGACTCGAGATCGATGAGGGAGTATAATAAATATTAAAGACATAAGACCTACATAGAAGACAGTAAACAGATAATGGTTTTTCACTATTTTTTGAATCAATGTTATTGTTTTTATTACACTTGAAAAGGAAGTTAGTTTCAGAGTCTTACTGCATATACGAGCTTTAAAGGATGTAAATTTTAAAAGGGTTTAAGGCGAGATCTCCAAGTAACATCTGGGGATTTAAGGAAGGTAATTGACCACGGAGGTATGGTAAGAAACTTGTACTGTATAGGATGTTCCATAAATTCCATCCATTACATTCTATAAGAGTCCACTGCTGAACATAGGCCTCCCCTCATAGATTGCCTCATAGGTGGGATTTTGTCATAGTTGCAACACTGGGTAGGCGGGCTTTAAACATGACAATGATTAAAAATAATAAATACGGTGATGTTATTTTATCCAAATACAACCAGTTTAAAACATATTACTTGCTATTTATTTAATGAATGGGTATGTTATTACCTAGACATTTTGGTTTTAATGTTATTTTATATGTATAAGTACTTACTAACCAACCAAAACATTTTGAAACAAAGTCTTTCAGAACCTTCTCTGCAATAACGCAATACAAAAAAACCTTCTTTAAAATATAATTTAGCTCTTTAGTGAATTAAATAAAGACTTCAACATTCTAAAACCGTTATTTTTTTAGAAATAATCTGCCCAGATCGTTACGATATCACACTTCAAAAAAAATTTAAAACATGAAATTTTTGACGCGAATCGCGTGCACCCTCTTAAATAAAAATATTTACCAATTTGTTGATTAAATTTCTCTATCATATGAATAGCGTGTGTTATTCATAATAACAATTTACCGTACAAAAACAGAATAATTAAGTTTTTTGTATAATATGGCCTTTAACTAACCCGCTCAAGCCAGAGTGGCAGGCCATGTCAAAATTGAGAAATGATTGGTATAGCGAAGTGATCGCAAATTCACTTGAGAAGTGTGGCGATAAGAAGGAATACTTTATACTTAGCACAGGCGTATGTCTATCAGAGAATTATCTTTGACAGATATGTTTATGAACATTACTTGACAAAACTTACTGTAGGCGACGCAGAACAAGGTTCCCTAAAATGATCAGTCCGTTTCTAGGAAATGGAATGTCTTTTGTTTCATCATATGAATATTTATTGAAGTCAGCTTTGAGTTAATTTAGTATTCGTAATTTAGTAATCGTAATCGTGCATTGCGTAGTTACTAATGATTACATGAGCTACGTAATACGAGCGAAACATGAAAAATTATTTACTTATAATTTAAATTCATGTGTTACGTGTGATAGGTGCACGAAACGCGATAATAAATACTTTTTATATATAACTTGTAATGTGGCTTTTCTAATTATGTATTCCGTATCATTATGTAACGAAAACAGCTAACAATTATGTGTTTATCTTTACAGGTTATATTTTAATGACATAGCAGATATCAGCAGTGTCAAAACCAGTTAAACTATCAAGAAAAAGACACAATTAAAACGAAGTACTAGTGCCTCACTAGATAATAAAATTAATACATACTTCCACAATATTATACCCGTCGATTTAATGACTAATTCTACTGAATTACCAACTACACTACCTCAATTCTTTTATCAATCGTGGCAAATTATATGTTACTGCCAGCACTGGACTTAGCACTGGATCAATTAACTAAGCACTTTTAAATAACATGTTTATTTCTATAATGTGTACTGCAATTACAACAGTAAATTACACATACTTTTGATAGCATTTGTCTTTTAATAGAAAATCCCCATCCATAAAACTATTATTTACGTCTTTAATAACAAAGGTTACAGTTATAAAGCCTGAAAAATTTGTCGTAAAAGCCAGTTACAACTCTTTTTGTAGTATAAGCTATATTATTTGTGGAACTATTGAAGCTGCATTATTTTCAGTTCCACATTATGAAACTACTTAAAAACCTAATCATTCTAATCTTAAATGGCATATAATAGCTTTAGTATTTTAAAATATATATAGAAAATAAACTGAACCATTTTTGTTTTTTGCTCGTCCTGTAAAATGACGTTTTTGTTTGTTATGTGTGTTTTTAGGGAATAAAATTATATTGGGAAAAAGGAGAATCCGATAGCGAAAAATATTGGAATCATTACGCATTAATTGCACGAGGTTCGCGGCTTTTTCAACGATATAGTTTTTTTTTGTAGGATAGTGACAAGCCCAAATTTTAATTCGTTTGATAAAAGAGTTCACAAAAATAATTCGGTAATCAAATAACAAAACAGTTCGGAAAATAATAGGAAGAATATGGAAATATTAGCGAAAAAGTAAAATAAGATTATTGTTAGAGAAATGTAATCAGTTTTAAATTGGTGTTTTATTTTTCATTTCTGTGAATGTTTTACGCGGTAGAGCCATACTGCAGATATATTATGGTATAGTTGTGGCACGAATGGGTCGGCTCGACTTGGGAAGGACCACGCTCTCACAGAATACCAGCGTAAAATAGCAGCTTAACGCTGCTGTGTTTCGTATGGTGAGTGTCTCTACACCGGAGACCTTTTTTTACTGGAAACGAGGCATTCCACCTTAGTCCTCACGGGTGACAAAACGCATCTGCATTTTGATTCGTTATCGAGGATAGATGTAGATGTCTATGGGCCGCAATAAGCACTTACCATTAGGTGGACTGTGTGCGCGATTGTCACCCTTATCCTATAAAAAATGTTCAGTGTTCATCTCTAAGCGCAGGGAATAGTACAGTCCATTATGAATTACATTCGGAAGGCGTCAAGACCGGAATCGATCAAGCAGGGCCCGTAATCTTAGTCGTCCACGCCTTCTTTAAGAAATTTGAGTGTGCGTGGAACCGAACGTCTTCCACCAAGGTCACGCGCGTTACTGTCTTCAGACATACCCACCTCGGTGTCCTAACCCGGCGAAGTGCAGTGCTGGTCTAAGGCCCGAAGGTGCAAGACCCATGCCCTCAATACTTACAGAAAAACGGGTGGAATAAATTAAATTTCATTCAGTCTGCAAAATGATAACGTAAAATCGTCTATAGTAGACCTCACCTCAATATACTTTGGGTGATATAAAACCACATATCTACTGGAGAAAAGATGCACGCGTATAGCTTTTCCATATTTTTCTTGTAATCGTTCTAATACGCCCAAATACTCTGAAATAAAAGAAATTTGGGATTTTATTCATGATATGTATAGGTATTCTCATAGATACGATTCGTCTGATACTACTATCGGCGATTCGCTTGCTAAACAAGGCGATATAGAAAGTCCTTCCTACATACAACGGGAGTGATCCAGCAATGGAATTTTACAGGCTGATGATGATGATAATAGTCTTTATCTTGTTATTGCTAGTTGATTTTATTTATTTATTTAAATCTTAAATGCTAGTCGATACGAAAATAATTCGTTAGAAAGTAATATATAATTTCATGTATAATTTCATTTTAGCAAAAAATATATTCGACTGCTTCTTTTTTAACATTCCTTAATTCATAACTGGCTGCTCCGATAAGGCTTAAGTTGGTGGACTGTGGAGGTGTTCTCTATCTCTGTATGTCTCAGCCGAGGTGGAATCGTGGGGTATACCACACCACTGATGGGCCTGCACCGCTGATTCAATGATTGGGAAGTAGCGATGGAAGGAAAGTATCGGTATTGCTTTGCGACCCTCTCCTTACTTTCCGCAGTCGCAACGAGGTAGGTAGTGGAGCCATAAACCAGATCCGCGGTTGGGGTCGAGAAAGCGTGATGCTTCCAGGCACTCGTTTTTTTTATCTAACGATTTCTTTTGTAATTGACGAGTATGTTTACCTAGGACAAGTTAACTTCGACCGAGAGATCAGTCGTCGGATCCAGCTCGGTAAGGCAATGTTCGAGATCACGACACATTTTCTCGTCGCCTATACCTCAAAACTTGAAAATAGGAGTGTACAAACAGTGTATATTGTCAGTGACTTCATATGGATATGGGACGGTTGCTCAGCAAGCTATGGAGAGGACTGTGCTCGGAGTATCTCTGTGATATAGAATTCGTAATGAGGATAACCGCAGTAGAACCAGAGTTACCGATAAAGTGTAAAATCCGACCAAGAGATAGTGTGACGATCTAGTTAGAGATACAGGAAGTCTTTGGATGTAGGTGGGTGGCTAGGAGCGTTCTTTGTGACATTCCTTTGGGGAGGCCTGATTTCAGTAACTGACGTGTTGGCTGTAATGATGAATAGACGATAATGACTTTCTGTAAATATAAGGTAAAAATATAATAAACTATATATAAGTCAACGACCATTATAAAGGCTGTAGTCACTGCCTAATCCTGAAGATCTGTATTTTATTTTGAAACATTTCTGATTAGCTCATAGACTGAGATTTGTATTCTATGCGTCCTTATACCTTTCATTAAATAACGAAAACTTTGCGTGAGTTGTGCTTTGGTAAATTGTGCAACATTTGTCGAGCACAACTGGTACACATATAAATATAAAAAGTGTATTTTTTTTTAAATTTTGTATTAAAAACAATTTAATATATTGTAACGTTTTCTTTCATATTTCTACATTGTCATCCTATCCTAAGTTATGTTCGAAATTTCAAATCTCTAGCTTATCGGGAAGTGCTCGAAATTTGAGTTGCAAGTTTCCACCCGGAACGATAGACAGACAGACAAACATGAAAGTGACTTAAGGATGTAGTTACATTTTTTACGTGCCCGAATTTAGATATTCGAATTGCAAGTTGACTTACGCATGTTCACATTGAAACAGTTTTTCGCTATTTATATAATTATTATACCTAACTAAACTTGATACTTGCTCAGTCCAACAAAGGAAGAAAGACGAAGCGCTTAGGATTTCAAACTTTTTTTTTTGAGAAAAAGACGTATTAATCCTTTGCATACGAAAAAATAAAGTATTTGCAAGAAAAATAAAGTATTTTCCAAATTTAAGTTTTTATAGGTTATATATATCTTTAAATGTTTCAAAATTACTTTTACAATCTAAGTTTAGATTTAAATAGATAAACAGTTATTTTTTCAATTAAATTTATAGAGATCTATTTATCTCTTCTTGCCACTTCACTTTCATCACTGAAAAAACTCTTTCAGTGAAGCGGGAAGGGAAATTATCAAAGATTTTTTTTAATATTTGGTAAGTTATCACACGCATGTTTAAGTATACGATTATACTTATTGCTGTATAATAATTGATAATTGTATTGACCATTTCGGGTGATGACTTTTAATTTTTTTGTAATCTTATTCTTTATTCAAAAGTATCAGTTTTTCTTTCTTATAATTCGTTTTTTAAATTGTCCATAATATGAAACAGATCCAATATGGTAATATAATTTCCTTCAAAAAGGTTTTATTATTTATTAAATATTTTCAGCATGTGACTTGTAAAGTGTAGATAAATTTCAACAACTTTATGATACTGTTGGTCACTTAGCTTTAGTAATTCATGTATAATTATCGGATAAACATCACTTAAACTTTTGAAATAGTTACATATTGGTTCCCAATTAACTAAAACTGTGTTGATGGCTGGAAGTAAAAATAACCAACGAGTGCGTTTAATTTCATGAAATTCATCATCAACCATTGGGACAATTTTTTTATTGTTCTCTCCTACAAGCTGACACAGAAAAATTACTGCAGATTTTCAAAATAATATTTTCTATATCAAATATCAAGTAACCCATAGCATGTTCATGTTAATGTAGGATTCTAATGCAGAAAGAATTTTTAAAATTGATCCAGTAGTTTAGGAGCCTATTCAATTCAAACAAACAAACAAACAAATCTTTCCTCTTTATTATAGTATAGTGTAGATGTGGATAGTGTAGATAAAAGGCAGGGCTTTTACACGTTATTTCATCGGTATAATTTTATTCGTATGTGAGCTATGATATATGAGATTCATATATCTCGCGTATCAAGTAGCTCTGAACGTAAGCAGTTATTGTAGATTTTTAATAAAAGTCCCTCCAAAAGTCTCCTTTTATAAATTCAAATTTAATTTTACCGTCGCTCGTCGTCATCCACTGGCAATTATAAACATATTTTGACCAGTTCGTAACGTAGTACCATTTGCGTTTTGTGTTGACTGTGATAACATCAGATTTATACAACCAAAAGTCAATTTTCTTTTGTTTGATTGCTTCTTCGGGTTCCATATTATAATCGAATCATGAGCATTTCACTTCTAAAGAACTAAGTTCATATTTGCCGTCTGCAGTAGCACCCAAAAATGAATATTTGTGGTATATATGTAAACTAGTCATGTATGTTAACATTTAAAAAAGCCCTTTCTAATTCTCGGGACGCTTTACGCTCGTTGTTCTAGCTAGTTTTTATGAATGGCTCATTGCTTAAATCGTAGCCACTCTGTAATTGCTTGGCAAGGAGAGCACAGTTAGTATTTTCAAACCGGCTTTCAAACTCTAGAAAACCATGAAGCTGTCAACTTTTCTAGTTTTCAAGAGCGAATTTGCATTCTGTAAAACAGTGCTCCTTTCAATAAAGTTTTTCTCTTCTGGGGACTTCACCAACTGTTATATAAGGTCAAGTATTTATAAACATAGATCCATGGTTTGACAAAGACCTTTTATCTATTGAACCAACAAAATTTCTTGAATGTCATATGTTCTGGTGGCTCAATTTCTTTTTTATCTGATCGGGAACATGTGACAGAATATTTGTTCTAATATTTTTATTATTTTTCACCCAACAGTACAGGACTTCTTTACTGTGCTGGTCCTAAATGTCGTTAGACGTTAGAGGAAGCATCGTAGCTTGTGCGGTATGAATGTTTACCATGCATATTTGTCAACATGCGTCTGCAACTACGGCTATCATAGGTATCCCTTGAGACGACATATTGCCGATGAGTTTTGCATGCTCCACCTCTTCTTTCCTATCCTCAACCATACAATGCTCCGCCGTTTGTTCCCACCATTGGCAAACTTAATTAAGCGTTGCTTCACACAAATGTAGAGCTACGGTGGGATGCTATAACTTACTGATTATTTATTATGCCCATTTTATTTGCATTCAAATTCTCAACACACATTTTGCAAAAAGGTTTATCATTTTAACGAAGGCCAGCTCTTTTTTCTTTATTAATACTGCTGCTCAAGAAATTTCAATCATTCTCAGACAGAAAATAAACAAAATGTCATTACTTTTAACTTTTTCCGTTCTTATCTCATCTCAGCACTTGGGACGTTCTTACTTCGCCTGAAGTTAAATCATAAACTAGTAAGCATACAAAACTTGTTATTTATGTGTAATCATACACAACTAAGTAGCTAGTATAAGATAAATTTATCAATCGTTTAACTAAATTATCTAAATTATTATATTTATAGTAGCTTGGTTTTATTTTCGGCATTTTCATAAAAAATTACTTGGTTTGAATTTTCCATTTCTTATGTACACTATCTAAATCAAAATATCTTTACTAGTAACTATTTTTCTTTATTAAATTCATTGTATTTTTTGTTTCGTAAAATTGTCAATATTATAAATAAAAATAATAATTTTCAAATATTTTAAGCTTTGAATTTGACGCTAAAATGGAAATTAAGAAAACCCCTGTTTAGTTTTCTTTATAGCATCCACAAATACTGTATTAATATAAAAAAATCTTATAACTATTTAGACCATGAATTTACTAAAGTTATGAGTAATTAACATTTGTGTAAGATAACCGGTTGACGGATATTAAAAGGTGTAACAGGTAAAAATGTACTCGTAAATATGCCCTTAATAAAAACGAGGTTAAATATTAAATTGCCGTCCATGGTCGCTTCAAATTATAATTAGGTAATTTAATAATTCCAACAGTCAAGGGGCTATTGTTAAAAATAAAAGATAGTATAAGAGTAGTGCTTATCAGGATGTCATGCTGGTCATTTTGATCCGGAGCTACCACAACATTACATAACATACTTTGTAAATATTAAAGTTCGGTAATAAATTATTAGGTGGTGGTACTAATTTTCTACCCAGGTCTCCATCTGTAGGTACTACCTTCTTACATATTTCTGCCGCCAAAGGCATTGCGTACACAGCTGTGATCCGGACTAGGGTATAGAGAGTTATTAAACATGATAACGCTTCTGTAACTTTCTATATTTGAAGTTGGCTGCAGGTCTATGGGCTGCAGTAAACACTTACTATTAGGTGGACTTTTTTATATGAGAGGGGCAAACGAGAATGCGACTCACCTAACAGCCCATGAACAACCGCAACACCAGCGGAGTTGCAGGCGCGTTGCCGGCCTTCTAAAAAGAAGTGATATCGTTTCTTGAAAGTCCCTAAGTCGTATCAGTCCGGAAAAATCACCGGTGGTAAACAATTCTACAGAGAAGTCGTGCGAGGAAATAGCCTCCTAATAAATCGCACAGTAGTGTACCGTCGAGCGTCAATATGATGTGGATGGACGTCAAGATAACGTGAATTTTGACGCGATGTGCGTTGGTGAAATTTGGCGGATGGAATGAATCCAAACAATTCCTCAGAACACTCCTCGTTGTAAATGCAATAGAAAATGCAAAGGGATGCAACATGATGAGATGAGAACAGTATTCCATGTGAGGCAAAACCTGTGTCTTGTAAAGTTGCAAGCGGTGTGTTGGCATGAAACACTAACCCGTTCTCCTAAGCATGCCAAACCTTTTAGAGGCCAATTAGGCCTTCCCTGAACGCAATCCTGTTTTACCCAGTGTCCTATTCATATTTGGCAAATTTTATACTTTTTAGGTTTTTAAGTAGCCATAAATTCAAATTAGTTCTATCTTTTTAAAAATGAAGGATTAGTTTAAAAAGTATACTTTTTTTTGAAATATTAATGCAAGAGATGCACTAAAAACTTGCCTTGAAATAAAAGAAATATATATTAGTACTATAGTTTTTCACTTACCAGTTGGTTTTACAAGAAAATGAAGTCCATTTCCTACTAATGGAAGGGGGAATGGCCCAGGTATAGAATTGCTTTTTGCATCCCATATCAAATCAAACCACGATAATAAAATTATAAACAAGATTAGTGACACCACTATGTACAAAATCATGTTTTATATGATATTTAAAAGTAAAACTTGTTGTTATAAAATATATAGAAACATAAAATTGGTAATATTGAAACTTTCTGCCCAAACGTACTGTCTGGTCCGATAGCAAAGCTTACACTGATTGTAATTTATATTTAAATGCGCTTGCTATGAAGTAATTCATTGATAAGTTATTGCAAAACGTTTAATAGTGTTAACAGACGATCGAATTCGGTCCGGGTCGGACAAGACGACTGGATCTGGCAGTCACCTTGAGTGCTATGTTCGGGCGTCACGCTTTTGATTTAAATTTAACCTTTTTTGTCTCTTGCCGACACACACTTTTCTCTTTCATTGGCCCATAATAGCTCATTGATGGACAAGGGCCTTCTTTGATCACAATAATAATTATATTTTATATAAAAGATACTTAGTACACACTTAATGGGCCCTGTTGGGCACAATAATATAACATTATATTAATTTATTATTATATTTTAAATAATTAAGACTGATGTAACATTTTAAATTATGTAGCATGCTTATACATAATATAATTTTTTAGTTGATGAAAATCTCAGAGGCCGTCAATATGTTCTTTGTTTATATCATTTTACTCCTAAATACAATTATTTCTACATTTGATTAAGATTTGCATGCCAATAATAATGACTGATTAAGCGGATGTTTAATTACTATGACCATCTTCAGTGTACGTTTTACCAAGCAAATAAATATTTCATTTTAATTCATTTCATACCATTTGTATCTGGCTGGTTTTAATATCAATACATATAGAATACTAATAAAAAGAAAAATAAAACACAAACACTTTCCTACCATTTTTCAATTGTTTTTTCTGCCCAAATGAGTGGATTTAACGAATAAATTCGATACTTTCTGACATTTATTTCAAAAAAGGGAAAAATGCGACTCAAGCCGCGAAAACATTTGTAACATTTATGGAACTAATGCAGTGTCGGTAAGAGTAGCACATAGTTAGTTCGTAAAACACCCAGTAGTCAGCCAGTACTCAGCCTTTACAGACATTATTTCCATATAAATAGTGTTGAAATTTGTTTACACCATTAAAATAACGCTTAATTGAATCTGTGTCTCCTTCTTAACCAATAGCATATCAGGTTCACGAGCTACACTCGTTAATTTGCACTGCTGCCAAAGACATGACTAGATGCGTCGCTGTTGCAATTTTTTTCGTAAGGAAACCTGCTCGAGTTTTTGGTAAGTTTTTGAGTGTATTTGCTGTAATTTGTAGTGGATTGTTATACTGTGTTACAATAAAATGTTTATTTTGTAATAAAATGAACTATTGCATGCATTTTATTTCTTTAATATGTTATAATTCAGGTGGCCAACTAGTGGGTTTCGAATTTTTAAGGTAGATCCAGTACTCAGCCATAAGTGGCTGACTACTGGTTTTTTCGTGATTTTTTTATATATAATTGAAATTAACGGAACGAATTGTACCAATTTTGCTCATTACTTTGGGTTTGACTCTTATAAGACAAAAAGTGTATTTTACCAGTAGTCACCCGCGTACAAATGTAATTGCATGTCAGAGGCCGACCGATGGGTCTATTAATCCAGTAGTCAGCCGTTAGTATTGTTGCACAATAATAGTACCTTGAAGCCTTTTCAATGAGGGTTAAATATATGCACGGTTATTTTAGCATAAAAATCATTTCTTTTAGAATTCCATTATGTCAAAAATCCATTCATCAATACAAAGAAGCAAATTAACACAAGTCATGGGGGCGATTAGAAATGGGATGTAACGAATAGGAGCTGTTTCTTCCAAATAGTGGAGGAAATTTCAGAAACAAAAGAAGAAATTAAGCAACAGAAAAAGAACGATGTATTGATTAAAAATTAAGAGATTTGAAGCTAAAACAAAGAAAGAAGAAGAAAGTCAAAAAAAGAAAGCAGAATTACAAAAAAGGGAAAGCGTAAAAGCTGTTGACTTCCAAAAACAGCGAAAGGAGAAAGATACGATACGAATACATGTCGTATTTTTAATTTAATACTATATTTACATATAATATAATAAACAAAGTAAGCTGCAAAACTGTGAAGAGGAATTGACTAGCGACACTGAAATTATTTAAAGAAATAATAAAAAAGAAATTACTTAAAGAATATTGGACGTGACAATTGTCTTGCATAGTACATTTAAAATGTACTGAATTCGCTGGGGACATATATGAAAATTGGACTTATCCAGTCGGACTATTTGTCCCAGGTAAACATATTCATCAACAACTTCGAGCTTAGTGCTCCAAATAACTACCGGCATAGGTGTGACGTGGACGTTAAACGTGATTTTTGTTTCATCCGTGTTCATCTTAAGGCCTATCCGTTGGGAGACACTATTGAGGTCATTGCATAGTGCTTAAGTCCTCCAGCGATTCTGCCATAAGGACTATATCGTCGGCAAATCGACACATCTTCTCGTCAAGCATACCTCAAAACCTCAAAATAAAATTGAACAACCAGTGCGTGTTGCCAGTGATGACTTATGGATCTGAGACGTGGTCCTTCACTGCTGGCCGTATGAGGAAGCTCAAAGTCGCTGAGCGAGCTATGGAGAGAGCTATGTTCGGCGTTTTTCTGTGTGATAGACTAAAAATGAGGATATCCGCAGTAGAACCAGAGTAACCGTCATAGCCCAAAGAATTAGTAAGCTGAAGTGTAATATTTAAAATACAGTTGAATCAAATTTTCGTCCTCACTAAAAGGCTGACTACTGGGTGTTTTACTCTATGTTGGAATAAGAGGGGCATCGTTTATTATGAGTGGTGTACATTTCTTATTGTAGTAGTGGTGTAAAATAAAAAAAAATACTCATAACTGATTTTTGATCTAACCTGGTATTCGAACTCGAAAGAAGAACAACGACGTGTGACCATTTGTTATTTAGCTAGGATTCTAAAGCTTCATTTGGGATATTTCAGTTTATATTAACTCATTCTTTAAAATTCAAGAAGGTGGCCGCGCGCTGGTTTCCTCGAATGTTAAAAGACGCCCAAAAGTAAGCAGGAGTTGACATTTCAAAGCAAAATTTTTAGCAATAATTGAAGAAGATCCAGATTGAAAACACATTAAGTAATTTTTTCGTTAGCGTAAATTTGCGTTGATCATATAACTTCAAAGAAAGGATTTTGTTTGTATTTAGGGTTTTTTAAGAGTTTTGTGTGAATTAATAATAAAATTCATTGCCTCATGTCGCAATTTATCGAAACTACGGGATGAGATAGGGTGCTGAAGAGTCTTGCGCTGCAACCATGCTGAGGGCAGCATTTTAATTTTTCATTTAAAATAAAATCGCAGAGTACAGAATAATTTAACGTCACAACTTACCACTAATTCTGTTAAACTTTGCTTAGAGCTACGAAAGGAATTTATAACCAGAGTTATTAATCGCGTTGTTCCCGCATAGCGTAGTTACGGAACGTTTTTGTGAACGTTTTGTATTTTAGTGCAATAAAAAGTTTGACAATAACTCAGTCCATACATTATGTTTAGGTAAGTATTATTATTTCGCAACAAAAATGTATAAAAATAAACATTATTATGAATATTATGTTTATTTACAATCTTGGTGCTCAGTGCGGACTACCATCCAGCTTCATTAATACTTTTTTTATAATACTAATTTGACAAACGAACTTATAGTCCACCTGTTGGTAAGTGGATACTGCAGTCTATGGACACTTGCAGCTAACTTCAAACAAAGAAGATGGAATGACTTACAACCTATAATTATATAAACACAGTAGTGCAAGTACTGCATTTGGATTTTGTTTTGGATTTAAATATAAAAATATGTCAGAGGGTACCTACCCAGTCAGATTCCTATTACTTAAGCAAAACCAGGTAACATAAGTAAAAAAAGAAGGAGATGAGAAACCAAAGCAAGGTGTGAAAAATACCGTCTTCCCCGACAGCTAAGAGGTTCAAGGTGTCTGCATCCGCTGGAAAAATAATGGCCTCTGTGTTCTGAGATGCGGAAGGTATAATAATGATCGACTATTTAAGTAAAGGAGAGACAATAAGAGGATATTATTACGCATCTTTAATTAAAAAACTACGCGGAGAAATAAAGAATAAAACTAAATTGACAAAAATTTGAATACCAGCGTCAAATAGCAGCTTAATGCTGCTGTGTTTCGTATGGTGAGTGTAGAGAACCGGAGACCCTTTTTACTGGCAAAGAGGCATTCCATCTTAGTCCTCACGGGTGACAACGCATCTGCATCTTGAGTCTTTCTTGAGGATAGATGTAGATGTCTATGGGTAACAGTAACCACTTACCATCAGGTGGACTGTGTGCTCGTTTGTCACCCAATCTTATAAAATAAAAAATAAATTATAAATATAAAAATAATTGCGTGCTAGAGTACTTTTTGCCCCTGCCCATCGATCTGATGTTGTTGGCGCTGCCATCCGAACTGCTGGATTTCAGTTGATGTATCACCCATCATATTCTCCGGACCTAGCTTCAAGTGATTATCGCCTTTTTACTCACATGAAAAAGCACTTGCGTGGTGTATAAAATTTGACGGCGGCGAGAGGCCTTTTTTGAGCCCCAGAATCAAGCCTTTTTTCTAAGGGAACCAACCAACTTGCAAAACGCTATTCAAGGCGATTACGTTGAAGAGTTTCATTGCGTTTCCAAAAACGTATTGATGAACTAATATATATATATACAAGAAATTGTATACTTAAGGTGCCAGGTCGGCTCCGGCCGTCTATTGCGAACAGCGGACTTACCAAGGCTGTACGGAGCGTACATATTCGACCGTATGTTAGCACTATACAGTTCGACGCAGGTGACGTGTTCAGTAGTTTAAACAAAATCATTAAATCTATTTTGAAAAAAATATATGAAAAAAATGTTTATTTATATTGCTTAGATTGTACAGATTATAATGTACAATATAAAATAATAAAATGGAAGTACAGTAGTCTTATTTATCTAGAGTATTTATAAACTATGATCA